GTCGTCGTGAGTATATATATATATATATATATATATATATATATATATATATATATATATATATATATATATATATATATATATATATATATATATATATATAGATGAATATATATATATATATACCGACCATTAACATGTACATATACCAGTAGTACACACCACCATATCAGCGTATGCGTGCAAGCTACATACTTCTTGAGATTAGTGAAGAGTTTCTCAGCAAGCCCTTGCGGGTCGTTGATCAGATGAAGTGCGGAGAAGTTCGCTGTCCCCACATCATCTGCGCCCTGGCGCCTATTCTCCTTCTTCACGGCGTGTCTAACTCTGTCAACCTGCACCACAGTAGAGTGTTATAGGGTTTAGAATTTTAGGGTTTTATGTTTTCAGTGTTTAAGGGTCAACCTGCCCAACAGTAGAGTGATATAAAGTTTAATGTTTTAATGTTTTAGAGTTTTAGGGTTTTGGTGTTTCAGGGTCAACCTGCAACACAGTAGAATGTTTTAGGGTTTAGTGCTTCGGTGTTTTAGCGTCGACCCACAACACAGTAAAGTAGAGTGGGGATGAATGGGGGGGTAGGCGTGTGTGTCCGAAGTCTTAGGCTCAGCCAGATGGTGTCTGAAATGATACACAATCACACACGCGCGCCCCGTACACCTTCCTTTCGAAATAATACCCAACACATCACGTTCGTCAGTGTCACACTCGCACACACGCATTGTTATGCGTATAGTATCACATACACACACGCATTGTACTGGTATAGTATCACATACACACGCATTTATATGGGTAGAGTATCACACACACGCATTGTATGGGTATAGTATCACACACACACGCATTGTATGAGTATAGTATCACACACACACGCATTGTATGAGTATAGTATCACACACACGCATTGTATGAGCAAAGTATCGTACACACACGCATTGTATGAGTATAGTATTATACACACACGCATTGTATGAGTATAGTATCACTCACACACGCATTGTATGGGTATAGTATCACACACACACGCATTGTATAGATACAGTATCACATACCTGTCGCGCTTTGCTCTTGGTCTTCTTGCCCACGCGTTGGGCCATTTGCGCCGCTACCAACTCTTCGTGGCCATCGTCACCGCCCTTCTCTTCCTCTCGGTCCATGATAAGTTGGTTATCTATACCCAAGAAGAACTGTGATGCAGAGTGTATGTGTATGTGTACGTGTGGTGTGAGAAGTAATACATACAGTAACAGGTAATATGGCGCGTGATGCAATGCGAGTATGTGTATGGTTGAACGGACTGTGAATGCGTTAGATACTAGCTGGTAGGACGTAAAAAAGTACGAGTAGAGAAGGAGTAGTGGCTGACTATTAAGTCAACTATGCGAATAATCACCTCAGTGAACAGGTGTTTAGCTATTATCGGGTTCGTGCTATGTATCAATCTGTGTTTAAGTGTACCTGGAATGCGTAGCCATGGCAACGATCCTTCAGGCTAAAGGGATAAACCGAAACTTTCGCAATGACTGTCTTTCTGTCCTGCTATATACACTGTAAGTACCTGTTATTTTATATCATTTACAATTACAAGTAGATATTACATACTGTAAGTACCCATAACATATACATCATTTACAACTACAAGTAGAAAATACATGCATGTACATACAACCTACATATGCAACCTACACATCATCCATACCTGCAGAGCTGCCACAACCACCTTCATATGCGGAGAGAGACATGCAGCAGCCATGACATTAACCGTTTTCCTATCTTGCCACGCACCCTTACGGTAGAGCTCGACCATTACCATCACACTCATGTGTGCAGCGATGGGATCTTCATCGTTGACGAACTGGAACATCATGCCCTGTAATGCTTTGTTAATCTGAAAGGTAGAGGTAGATAGAACCTGGATGAGTCTTAAGTACACAGGTCTGAATAGTTTACGTATATATGTATCTATGTTCATATAAAGGGTCGATGTATGTACAGCTATTCTGTATACATATACATTATGTCTACACGGATACAACGATTTGAGCAGAGACAGAAAGTGTGGAGGCTTTCACATGAACCATAGTAATCACTCAGGCACAACTATGAGCTTCAAGGCAAGTGCTACATAGGACAGGTATATGGATAGAGATAATACTCAAAGAACAACATGGTTATTGCTGCATCGTGTGTGACACAGGGTAACAATATATCCTTCGATATAGCACTTAACAGCTCAGAGTGTGTCTTCCACGACCATCTACAGACCAAAGTCGCCCATAACTAATATATATATATATATACATAAATACATACATACATACATACATACATAAACATATGTAAATATATATATCTACTTACATACTTGCAAAAAATACCTACTCACAAATATATATATAAAACAATATATCTATATATATATATATATATATATATATGCGTGTATATATGTGTTTATATATATGTATATATACATATATATGTGTGTACACTTGTGTGTGGTTGTATTTGTAAGTGTGTGTATGTATTTAAGTATGTACGTACGTATGTATGTTATGTATGTAGATACGTTTATGTATATGTAAATGTGAATTTATATAGTTACAAAATATATATAAATATATATATATATATATATATGTGTGTGTGTGTATGTATCTATTTATATATACTTATATATATATATATATACGTATATGTATATATAATACATATACATATACATATACATTACATATACATATATATATATATATACACATACATATACTTTAACATACATATATA